ATTTACCTATTAATGAGGGCTTATGAATAAAGCTGCTATGAAAATTCATGTACAAGCTTTTGGGTAGGTATATGTTTTCATTTCTCATGGAAATACCAAGGAATAAAATTATGAAGTCATGTAATAAATGTATAACTTTATTTCAAAAAATGCTGAATTATTGTCCAGAATGGTGGTATCATTTTACATTTTCCATGTATGAGAGTTACAGTCACTCCTCATCTTTACCAAAACTTGTTATTATCAGACTTTTGTTTTTAATGTTACCTATTCTCTTGGGTTTGTAGTGCTATTTTAATTTCCCTGATGACTGAGCATGGTATCATTTTATTTGCTTATTGGGCATCCATATCTTCTTTTTGAAATGTCTTTTCAAATTCTATGCACATCTCTAATTGGGTTATTTGTCTTCTTGGATTATTTGCATTCTTTGTATATTCTAAATAGAGTGGTTTTTTTCGTATAAGAATTGTGAATTCCTTAGCCTACAGCTTGCTTCTCCATACATTTGATGATGTCTTTCAAAAAGCAGAATTTTGATCAATAAGTGATAGAGATCAATAGATAGATAAAATTTATTTTATCAAATTATTCTTTTCAAGATTTGTGATTTTGATATCTTAATGAATCTTTGCTTACTCTAAATTAGCAATAATTTTCTCTGTTTCCTTTAACAAATTTCATCTTTTAAATTTGGTTTATAATGTATTCCACATTAATATTTGTGTATGCCAAATTCTTCCTGCCATAAAAGCCCCAAGAACCAGTAAGGAAAGAATTTTTAAACTTAAAATTTCTATCCATCCAAATTAACATTCAAATAAGAGAGCCATAAAAGTATTATTAGGCAAATAAGCCTTAAGAAGCTTCACTACACAATGTGCCATATGGAAAATAATTCAGGATGAACAACTTAAATAACAGGGAAGACTCATCCAAATGACAATATTACACACACATATATACACATAGATATATGCTATATTTGATACATGTCATACATAAAATATATGTATATTTTATAGGATATATGTATATAATATATGCAATGTGATATATATTTACATATCTAATATTTTTATATTGGCGGTAGTTGCTTTTAAAATTAAATAAGGCAAAGCAAAAGAAAACAACCTAGAATTAAAAATCTCAATAAATTCAATTTGACAGAAGTTGGGGGCCAGGCACAGTGACTCACACCTGTAATCCTAGCACTCTGGAAGGTCGAGCCGGGAGGATGACTGGAGATCAAGATTTCTAGACCAGCCTGAGCAAGAGCAAGACCGCATCTCTACTGAAAATAGAAAATATTAGCCTGGCGTGATGGCACATTGCCTATAGTCCAGCAACTTGGAAGCTTAAGGCAGGAAGATCTCTTGAGCCCAGGAATTTGAGGTTGGTGTGAGCTAGGCTGACACCACAGCACTCTAGCCTAGGCAACAGAGCAACACTCTGTCTCCAAAAAATAAATAAAAATAAAAGAAGTTGGAATAAAGAGACCAAGAGATGTGAAATAACACTGAAGTATTTATCTTATGCATTACACGATACAGATATCACTTTAAAGATGAGAAATTATTAAAAGGATGCATATAAAGAGTGAAACAACATGAAAAAATAAATAAAGATGGTAGATTTCAACACATGCTTTTCAATTATTGATAGAAGAGGCAAAGAACTAAAACAAAAATTTGAAAGTTAAAAACAATATAATTATTAATAATAACCTTAAACTAATGGCCATTAATAGAGTTTTGCAAGCAACAATTAAAATGAACACATTTTTTCTCAAGTATCAATTGAACATTTACAAAATTATGATATTGTGCCACTCCCTTAGAAAGCCTCAGTAAATTTCAAAGAAAAAATAAAATTCTTATATACACATAGCTTTGCACACTCATTTCCCTCTTGATGACTTTGGATCAGAGGTATGAGTAATCAAAAGTAAATATGTTTTTATTCTTAATACATGTAAGATAAAAGGCACAAAGAGACTCTAACTGTTCATTTCAACTTTTGTCATCACACAGACATGTAGCCAACATGCTTTTGCCAAAGCCACCACTCTACCTATGCATTGGTTGAAAATAGCCTCACACAAGTCTGTACATTGGCTATTACGAAGTATCTTGTAGCAGAACAATATTTTTTTCTAAGAGCAACCAAAAAGCTGGATAAAATGCTAACAAATCATATCTCTTCAAACACATTAGAGAGCTTCTGAGGCAGCCCAGACAGGAGGGACCAAGATTTTAGTTAAAAGAGAAGCTCAGGGAATTCACCAGATTTTATGGAGCAATGCATGAGAAACTGAAGATCTAACTGTAATTTTTCTATAAGATACAGAAGCCAGCAAGGATTAAGCAACCTCACAGAGCTAGAAAGACCAAAATCGATCATGGGCCCATCAAGGCAATTGGGCTTCAGGAGATATAATAGGGTCCTTGAGAAGAGGAAGGTGCAGAAAGTGAGACTGACGTCCTATCCTTGCAAATGGATGACGAGAAAGTAGCTAAAAAGTTTGACAGAACACCGGTAGTCTCATGGTTCTATAGAGAAAAACTGGAGTTCATAACCTTTCCAGGAAGAGATTCCCTGATGATCACCCTGGGATCTCAGAGACAAATCTTGGAGAACTACAACTAAAATTAGGAGGAAACCTGAGATGTAACAAGACTTACAAAGTCTGAAATCCAGCTTTGAGTCAGTTCAATTGATGATCAAATTGAGGTAATGTGACCTCATTCTTCCTGCCTGCCAAAGAATAAGGTTCATCATCCCTGGAGGAAAATAACATTACCCAGAACCTCTAAATGTTTTTTTTAAAATAAAAACATTCATCCTCAATCAAAAATTACCATGCATTTCAAGAAACTGGACTAAGAGAAGAAACAGACAATAGTAATAGACCCACAGTTATTCCAGATATTAGAATTATCAGCATGGACATTAAAATAATTATGATTGATATGTTCAGAAAAATAGATGACAGGATTGTGCATTTCACAATGGAAGTGGAAACTATAAGAAAGAATCATATGGACATTCTAAAACTTACCTTTATGTTATCTGAAATTAAGAGATCAATAGATGAGGTTAAGAGCCATTGGATCATTGCTGCTGAGAGTGAAATGAAGTTAAACACAGATTAGAAGAAAATAATTAAAGCAAAGAGATAAGTTAATGGAAAAATATTAGAGAGAGAGAAATTTGGCATGATGAAAAGATGTAATGTATAAGTTATTGTAACCCATAAAGAGAAATGAGAAAATGAGGTAAAAGAAATATAAAAGGATAATTTCCAAGGATTTTCCAAGAATTATTAAAATCTTGAAGGCACAGATTCAAAAGTTCTACAAAACCCTAAGAAGGAAAATTGTAAAGAAAATACACCCATATATGTCATAGTAAAAATTTTAAAAACCAAAAATGAAAATCCAAACAGTGCCTCGAGGAAAAAAGACATTATCTGTGAATGAGAAACAGTGAGTAAACACTGACTTCTTAGAACATACAGAAGCCAGATAATAGTCTCCATAACAATATCCTTGAAGTGCCAAAGAAAACACCTGCCAACATAAAATTCTAAACTGAATGAAAATGTCCTTCAAAGGTGAAAGTAAAAATGTGAAATGTCTAATCAAACAAAAACTGAGAGAATTGTTAATGAACATCTGCACAAAAGAATGTATTAAAAAGAGTTCTGGAGAAGAAAAATTATTGAAGATGGACTCATAAAGGGACAGAATGAAGTGCAGTATAATGGGTCAATATGTGGATAAATATAAATGAAACCCAGTCTTTCTTCACCTAAATGAAATAGCTTTCATTTCATTTTTTTCTTGTGATTTTAGATGATTTCTACACTTTTCACCATTCTCATGACTGGCTCTGAACTGTACTTATAAATCTTGCTCTTAAAGTATGAAGCTCACTAGTGGGTAAGATATGAAAGATCTAATCTGCTTCATGTGATGTAGATGTTCTACATGACAAAGATAGTGTTTATCTGAATGAGCCCTTTGTTAAGCCATTTGTCCTCATGGTTCCTACTGGGTAGGCAATCACCTAAACACCACATCTTTTTTTTTTTTTTTTGGCATATTAAGGGGGTACAGATTTTAAGGTTTCAATAAATGCCCATTTCCTCCCCTCCCCCCACAAGTCTGAGTCTCCATCATGACCATCCCCCAGATAGTGCACAGCCAAAGAAATAGTCATGAAAGTAAACAGACAACCTACAGAATGGGAGAAAATTTTTGCATCCTATGCATCCGATAAGGGACTGATAACTAGAATATACTTAGAACTCATGAAAATCAGGAAGAAAAAAATCAAATAACCCCATTAAAAAGTGGGCAAAGGACTTGAACAGAAACTTTTCTAAAGAAGACAGAAGAATGGCCAACAAACATATGGAAAAAATGCTCAACATCTCTAACACCACATCTTTTAAATGAACTGATGCCAACCCATGGCTTTTCACACAACCCTAGCCCCATCTCCTAAGTCTCACATTTATACTGGTGTGCTTCTCTTCTTCACCACCTCATGTCACTACATACTATTAACAGCATTTTCTTTCAGTTTGGCATGGTTCTAACTTCCTGGTTTGAGGAAAAATACAAAGTTCCCAGAATTTACATATAGACCTTCCATTGCCCCATAGTCTGCTGAGGCACATGGCATTACTTTTACTATCCTTTTTTTCTGTGTGTGGCATGCAATCAGGAGAAGCAAAAACACTTATAAGTCATATAACTATGCAATAAAATCTGTTCCAAACACCAAATTATTACTCAAAGAGTAACTGTGTCTGTTATTTGCCTAGTGCCTTCTGACTGCACATTGCTTCTTCTCCCTTCTCTAGAATGCTGAGGCTGATGTCTATGATTGAATTTTCCAGTTTCCTTTGTCATCCAGTTTTCTATTAGTTTTTCCCAAAGTAGGCATTAATTAGAGATTAGAAGAGAAGGTAAAGAAGAAATTATTCTCACCTTATTTCTCTCTGTTTCTGGCAGCCTCTTTGGAAGTGTATATGCCTCTTCAATGATCTTGAGTGGACCTTGACTGACATAGTATTTGGTACCAAGAGACTTGATATTTGCTGAACTTCTAAGTTCTCTCATTCCTTCATTTAACTAATCTTTTTTACAATGCAAAAGATGGTTCAGTCTTGGGATAGTACTGTGGAGCACCACAAAATATACCAGGTGGTGGCCGGGCGTGGTGGCTCATGCCTGTAATCCTAGCACTCTGGGAGGCTGAGGCGAGAGGATTGCTCGAGGTCAGGAGTTCGAAACCAGCCTGAGCAAGAGCGAGACCCCGTCTCTACTATAAATAGAAATAAATTAATTGGCCAACTAATATATATAGAAAAAATTAGCTGGGCATGGTGGTGCATGCCTGTAGTCCCAGCTACTCGGGAGGCTGAGGCAGCAGTATTGGTTGAGCCCAGGAGTTTGAGGTTGCTGTGAGCTAGGCTGACGCCACGGTACTCTAGCCTGGGCAACAAAGTGAGACTCTGTCTCAAAAAAAAAAATATATATATATATATATATATATATATATATATATATATATATATATGTATATATATATATATATATATATACCAGGTGGTGCCTGAGATTGCAGCTGATGTTCCTGTATGGTATCTTTCCTTGAACAAAACAAAATCCCCTGGCACCTGGCATATATAGCTCTTTTTTTCCTCCATATAACAATTTCCAAAGACCATGTAAAGCAGGAAGTTTTTGCCTCACAGGATAGCAATACTCCTCAACTGACTTGCTCCAGAGCTATGTAAAGTTTCCTGACCTCTGTCATAACCTGGTCTGTAGGAACCTGGAGCACACTGTAACCCCATGGAACATCATGCTGGTCAACTACCTTGATGGCATCATGCTGACTGGACTTGATGAGCAGGAAATATCAACTATTAATACTTTAGATGCCTTAGTAGCATTTAAGTGTGCCAGAGGCTAGTAGATAAACCCCATAAAAATATATAATCCTGACACCTTGGTGACCTTTCTAGGATCCCAGTGAGGTTTCTCCTTATATAGCTTACCACTAACAAATAAGCACAAAGCACATTTGGCTTCTTTGGGTTTTGGAGACAACATATACCTTATTTGGTGGTGTTGTTCCAACTTATTTACTAATTAGCTGAAAGGCTTCTAGTTGCAAATGGGTTCTGATGCTGATCCAGATTATAGTAGATGCTGCTCTGGCATTTAAGCTTTAGTATTCAGCCTCTTCAATAGAACACAAAATAACTTGTCATAGTCATATTATTTGTCATAATAATAATTTGTCATAATTTGTCTATTTGTCACAATAGAAATACCATAGTAATTTTCTCAGATTCACCAATAGAAAAATCATAGTGAAGTTCCCCAGGATTTTGGAGCAAAATAATGCATTCTTCTGAAGATAGTGTTAGCCTTTAGGAAAAAAAAAAAAGTTCCAGAGTTAATACTGGACCCTGGTAGAGATTTAATAGCTGCTCACTGGACAAAAACTGACGTAGCAACCTGAGTTATATCATGAGCTGGGTGTTTCCACATCCGCTAAATCATAAATGTAGGGATATATACAGGCACTCTACCATCAAGTGAAAGTGTTATACACTAGAAGAGATTTTAGAAGGGTCTAAAGGCGCAAGTAAATTGCATGAGGAGAATCTCCTGGCACTTCCACGGATGCACTATCTCTCACTACTCTAAGCAACTCCTATGACCCTATGGGGTGATCCCAGTGATCAGTTTACAAAGGAAAAAAGAACTCAGAGCTAGTTTGCAAATAGTTCTACATGACATGCTGTTGTAGCCGTAAGTGTCACTAGTCAATCAAATTAGAAATATCCCAGAAGAACAGCAGTGAAGGTAAATATTCCCATTGGACCTAACTTGGAAATATATATATTTCAAAATATACACACACACACTTTGCACAGATGGAAATATGGTCAGAGGTATAAATCTGTACTGATTCACAGGCAATAGATAACCATCTAGCCTAAGGGTCTGGTATTTAGAAAGAAAAAAGACTCAAAGTTTAATTATAAGAAGTTCAGGGGGAAATTATGAGATGACCCTCCCAAGATGGGCATGGCAAGAAAGGATATATTTATCCTTTGTTATCGATTACCAAAGGATACTCAGAGCAGAGGAAGTTCTGAAATATTAGGTGGCCAAGATGATCCTTCCTGCGGATGTTAGCCAGACTTTGGTGCTTGTGCAATGGACTCGAATTCAAATACCCATGTGGGAATGGAAGTTATATATAAGTCAAGAGTATGAGCTCTCACTTCACTAGAAAAACTTGCTTCTATTATTGCCTAACCTTCCAACAGGCCTAATGGTCATCAATTCTCAAAGGGACCATCTCAGCCATCTGATGGCAGTGTGATGATATTAGATCCTTTTTTAAATATCGGGAGCAATGATGTACCATCAATAAAACAGAAATGTATTCTGATAAAGATTTTCCTTCCTTATTCAAATATTTAATGTCAGTACCACCTCCCATGTATTAATGAAATGCCTTATTCACCACCATGGTATAACACACAACAGAGGTTCCAACTAAACAATCCATTTTAATGTAGAAGTGCAGCAATGGACTAATTTCATGACCTTCGCTGGTTTTGTGCCATGTATTCCTTCCTCCAGATGCAGCTGGATAAAATAAAACAATGAAATGATCAATGGAAAACTCACCTTCAGAATGTAATACATGCTTTGAACTAGTCATAAATATGCATGCAGAGCTATTTCTTCCATAGCCTTAATGCATGAGTTTGGAAATTAAGAGGTACAAGTGGGACTTCTCCTTTCACAATTACACCTAACAAACTACTCACAAGATTTTTCTTTTCATCTCACCAACTTTGGGCTATGCTTGTTTAGAGTTCTTCCTTCCTAAAGAAGGAATGCTTCCAGTAAAGTGTGTAAAAATGATACCTTTGAACTGTAGGTTGAGCTTGCCACTTGGCCATTTTGGGCTTCTCATGTCATTAACCCTTGCACAATTATGATTACCAAAAGGAAAGAAGATTGTTATTCAATGGAGGCAGGAAGGACTATGTCTGGGAACCCAGGGGAACCCAGGGGATTCCCTGGGGGTACCTCTAAGAAATTCACAATCAAAAAAAAAAAATGGCATAAAAGACTAAAGCAACCCAATATAGGTAAGACAACTAAGGACTGAGCCATTGAAGGAATGGTTCAACCCAAAATGTAAAGTACTCCAACCCAATTGAGATACTGGCTGGGGACAAAGGGAACCTTGACTAGGTAGCAAAAGAAATTCTGAGTGTCAACTATAGGCTTGTTACAAGATACAAAAACAACTACAATAAGAATACATTTTTTTCTCCCCTATTCGTTACTTACCCACACACAAACATACACTCAATGTTGTCCTCTTCTTTCACTTCAAATTTGATCTTTAAGTTACATAATATCGAGATGGTCTTATAGCTGAAATGAAAAAGAACTCATATCACGCAGGGACAGAGGCAGAGATTGATTGATGGAACTTGCTGTCTTCCCTTTAGGTCATTCCCAAAGAGAGTCTGAGCATTTTCCTAAGTAGCAAGCAGAATTAGGATTTATTAAACAGAAGCATAAAGTTACCATTGCTGTGGTGTAGGAAGTGTAAGTATGAGCAGAAAGGGATGGATGGATGCATGCTAAATACCCTAATTTGTGGCCTGGCCCAGTTATTGACTCACCACCTCTTAACCTCAGACCTGCCCTACTCAACCCTGTTCACTACTGCCAGGGCAGGGAATCAAATCTGTCTTTCCATCAGGATTCCTGCTAGTTGTAGCCAGTAGGAGGTATTGGTGGGATCAGAGACAGGAGTAGGGAAGAAGCAGCACTTCTTCTTTGCTCTCCCTCAATCTCTGGTGGCATCTCAGAAAGTGTTTGCAGCCCTGGTTTCAGCTATGAGGCCTCTCTTCCAGGTTTCGACACTGACCACGTGGGCTTTGCTTAGTATTTTTGACCTCTGATAACACCACTTCCTCGCTTTCCTTCCACCACCCCCAGGAGTGGTGGGTGTTTCCTATGTTTATTAGTTCCTGGGTTACCTCCTCGCCCCCACTTCCTCTCTCTCCTTGAAATAGGTAGACCGTTTTCTTTTCCTTGCCAGATATATCCTTCCCTTTCCCATTCTATCCTTCTTTCCTGGACATTTAAATATCTCACTTCATCTAAATCAGTGATTTTCACAGGTTATTGGAGTCGTGGGAGTTTCCAGAAGCCTTCTCCAGGTTGCTGCTAAGAAAATAAGAAAGAAGAGAAACGGGTTCTAAACTGTTTAGAAAATGCCCTACTCACTTCAGCTGTATTATTTCAGTTCCATATGCTTTATTTGTTTACATTTCTTAGAGGAATTTCAGCAGAACAAAGGCTTTTGTTTATAATAAATGTTTGGAATCATGGATCATTGTGACTGATAAAATGTTGAATAGAATTTGGTCAAAGACAAAAATCTAGCTATGGCCTCAGTGGACATTACTTTGTTCTCAACAGAAGTTGAGGAGAAGACATCACTGGAACGCAAGTTTCCTCCTGTTTCTCTCTCTCACCCTGCTTCTTCAAGTACAATTTTAGTCCATGGCCCTGACCCTCTGCCATCATTCCCAGAGTATTCTCACCCTCAGAAGCTCAGCTGAAAAATTCCCTGAATGCACTGCATATCAAAAGGGTGAATGCATCTAGAAAGCCTGCAATAAAAATAACCCAAACAAATGACTGCCACATCACATGTCCTATTAGCAAAGTACTTGTGTGGGAACAAAATGTTGTTGTTGGTTTTGTTTTCATTTTTTTAATACAGTCAAGGCCCCAATGGGGCATGAATGTAGAATATCATCCCATTTTATAATATATGCACCATAATCTTCTTAAAATGAGTTTTCACTTCAAGAAACATAAGGACTTAAATATGAGCAGCCTGTTTTGTGCGCTTGTGTGTTTGGCATCTCATTACACTTCAGACCATTTTGTCTTCTTAGAACAATTGAATATCATTAGTGGAGGCATATTTTGTTGCCAGAACTTGCTTGGTTGCGATTGTGCTCGTTAAAATGTGTCCATTTGCCAGCTGATGGATGGGAATTCTGAAGGGTGCCTGGTGGGTGAGCATTTGAATATCAGAACTTTCATCTCTTTCTTCCAGAGAGAAAAATAGCTTGCTACCAACCAACACAAAGCATGAATTGTCCTTGACTTCCCCTCCTTCCTTCTGTCTTCTTTGTGTAGCACTCAGTTTAGCTCACTGAATTTCTACCAGGCACCCAAAACTGTGCAAGACAGAAAAGCTTCAAAGTCAGGCAAACCAGGGAGCAAAGGCAGGCTCCTCGGTTTGTCTACATTGTGACCTTTTGCAGATCACTTAACCTCTCGGAGCTTTGGAGTTTGATTCTTCAAAATGAGTTTTTAAATGCTTATTTTCAGGGTCATTACAATGAAAATCACAAACCCATTTTAGACACATAGTAGATGTTCAATAATTGGGAGCTGTCCGAAGTGATGGACCAAAGAGATCCATAAAACAATTAGAATTTGTTCAAAGCAAATATAGTACAACATTAAGTAGACTACAATCAGGCACCAAAAGATGAGGTACCTCTACATAAATCATTTTAGAGATAAGACCCAGAAGATACAGTTGATTTTCATTACTCACAATTATATAAAATTGAATAATTTCACCCAGAGAACACCGTATTAGCAAAAACACTGAACCATTGCTCCTAGGGTAAAAACAAGATTAGGTTCCTGTCAGACTCTGGTTGCAACATCAGATCGTCAATCAATCAATACATAACCTTGTTTTATATATCTTTTTGTTTAAAGATACCTTATGTAATATATTTCATTAATTCTTTAACAATGATTTTACAGCCAACAGCACTATAATCCATGCCTGAAAGAAGCTCACCTGACACACGTATTTTCTACATAAGCAACATCACACTCTCTTGCTCGACTTGCTCAGGAACACTGGACAGCAAATTTAGCACCATGCTTGGGAGTCATTTTAAACAGCTAAATTACCAACAAAAATCATTTCGAAAGCACAAAAATGTGAAAAATGTCACACCAAATATATGACAAAAGGACCCTTGTTTACAGTATGAGAGATGAAACAAGAGGGCGGAATGTTGCCTTGTTCTATGCTGGAAATGTGCACATAGGGT